GCGTTATTCACCAAAATATCCAACCGTTTGAATGCACTGATCGTACTGTCAATCAGTCGTTTACAGTCGACGTCTTTACTCACGTCTGCCAACACTTCCAGTGGTTTCAGGCCTTTGGGCGAAACGGCCGCACATTGTTTGGCCACTTCTGACAAGTTGTCGGCATTACGACCGGTGATCACCACTTGAGCCCCATATCGGGCGAACTCGACGGCTGTTTGGGCGCCGATACCACCGCTCGAACCGGTGATCAGCACTACTTTATCGGCGAAGTTCTTTGATGTGGACATTATTAGCACTGTTTATGAGAGAAATAGTTTGAGTTAAACAAACACTTTTCAATTGTTTATATACCCAATTTAATTAATATAAATGTTTTATAAAAAGCTAAATGTAAATTTTACCATAATCATTATAAACATCACTTAATGACTCTACGTTTATGCACTATGAAAATGATTTGCATTAAACATTATATTCTTGTATTGAATAAACAACCCATGTTTTAAAACCATCGAGAATATTCTGACATATTAACCAACGCACCAAATATGCTCATATGCAACATGCAACTATTTATGAATATATGACAAACAAACAATTTGAATATTAAAATGCAAATTAAAATATCAGCAGGAAATTTGTTAATGTACAATTATTAACTAATATCTAAATGTACCCATGATACCATTGTAAATGAGCATGTTAAAACAATATAGGAAATCAACAAGACAATTATTTTTAATGCAATTTTAGTATCTTTTTATTTTTATTTTAATTATAATTATTATACAATTAAATGTAAAAGTATAAATGACATAATCTTAAATTATTTATTTATTCGATGAGCACAGGGTCAATTTTGCCGCCCACTCGATCTACTTTGGCCTCGATTCGGAACATCCAGGTCTGTTTGAGGGGACAATTGTCGGGTATTTGTTCAAAACAATTACCACCATCTGCTACGTTGACAAAGTAATAAGTCACGGGTTCGGTGTCCGACATTGTCTTAAACTCTTGATCGGGGAATTGGATGCGTTGAACACGTGATTTGCCTCCGATATTGCCCACCGAGCGACAGCCGCGCGCCGATACCGACTCAGACGCGTTCCCAAAGTTGTCGACCACTTCGTCGACCAACACAACCGTATTGTAGGGTCGGGTGAATGCAATCATCACATTTGTGTCGCTGACGAGGAGGGCCTCAATGGGTCCCAAATGACTATTGTTTAGCTTTGGCAGATGGATGCCATTGCAGATCAGTTTACCCGATTGAATGATCGGTATGTCGTGTACGTCGGCCACCATCGGGTACTTCTCTCTAATTGCGGTCAGTTCCGCGTGAATTACTTTGTATACAGCCATCGATGGTTCCAGTAGTGATCGGTTCCAGTCTTGAGCTATGATGAACGCATCCCTGTCCTCATAGGGCGCGTTGATCGAGCTGATAGGGCTGGCCATTGATTGGTGACCGATGCCAATGATGAGCACAATTATTGCTAGCATTTTATATTTGCTGTGATAATTGGTTTGTGTTTTACTATTGTTTTTATAAATGTGTTTATTTATAATTATTATATTTTCTAAATTTTGAGGCTTTATATACTTTATAATTCTAATAAAATTACAAAATGATTGTGTAATTAATTTGTAAATTACAATAAGAATACAATGATATCGATTACTATATGTGCAACCAATTCTAGGACCTTTATCTTTAGGGAAAAGTCAACACACACACCATCTGTGAGTCAATACCAGTCAATACACGATATCAAGCTTTAGTACAGTTAATGCTATTTCATTACAATAATATTTACTTTAACCTAAAGATA